ATTATGGACTAAAATTAAAAACCACTGAGTAACTAAGCAGTTTAAATCAACTCACAAACTGTGATAAAATGTCCATCCAGAAATATATCAGAAACTTGCTGGTGAACACAAAAAATGTATTGTACTTTTAATCAGATGAAACATATAGCGACACATGACTTTGTCCATGTTTTACTTGTCTAATTTGAGACAAATTTGAAGAGGAAGTGGTCCTCTTTCTTACTCCATCACTTTATGCATTAGACCAGTACCACAATATGATGCTATCACCTTCATGTTTGACAGTTGGTTCAGTGTTCACAGGTTTGAAAGCTCCACCATGACTTCGTTTATACATACTTCCTGTCATTGTGCTCAAATTGCTTAGTCTTTTTTTTTTTTGGTGTACTCATTTATTCATTTATCTAAAACAATGACAACAACAACTAATTCTATTCAATCACAAATTAAATGAACGGTAGCAGAAGAAAAAAGTCATGATATCTGCCCCTGTAAGATGTTTAATATATGATGGAGCTTGATTGTTAAGAGCTTTGTATGTTGGGAGTAATATTTTAAATTCTATTCTGAATTTGACAGGGAGCCAGTGGAGAGAAGCTAAAACTGGAGGAATATGATCTCTCCTTCCAACTCTCATTAAAACTCTAGCTGCAGCATTTTGGATTAACTGAAGACTTCTTAAAGAGGTTTTTGGATGTCCAGGTAATTAAGAATTACAGTAATCCAGTCTAGACATGATAAATGCATGGATCAGTTTTTCTTCATCGAGTAGACACAAGTGATTTTGTTGTTGATTTTATACACTTAGTAGTGTGGCCAGATTTGTTGATATTCTTAAAGAGATTAATCATTTTTGCATTAAAGTATTTTGTCATGTTTCAAGCTAAGTGTTTGACTTTAATATCAGTTTTTCATCAGATGTTCAGACTAATTCTAAACAGTCTGATAGTTTGGTGTCCTTATGTTCACCACAGTGAACATGGAGCTCAGACAGAAGATTATTTATGTTAAAGATTAATAAGAAGCAAGAAAATAATATAAAAGCACTCAAACTGAACTCCAGATCCCTTTTCTGATCAAACCATTTCTTACATTATGAATCATATTGATGGAAGAAGACCCAGGCAGCTCCACTGTTGGCAGAAAGGCGCTAAATTTCTTAAAAACCTGACAGGAATTAATTTAAAGAACTAAAAGTTCTGGGACTTATCAAATCAAACTAGAGTTTTTCGTTAATTCTGAAAAAAACGTGTTGCCTCCGATAAAAAGGTCACACTCTAATATTTTGTTGGACCACCTTCAGCTTTGATTACAGCCTGCATTCACTGTGGCATTGTTTCTATAAGCTTCTGCAATGTCACAAGGTTTATTTCCATCCAGTGATGCATTCATTTTTCACCAAGATCCAGCATTATTCTGACCTTCTCCATCACATCCCAAAGACTCTCATGGACTCTGTGGAGCCAATCCATGTCTCATGCTCCCTGAACCACTCTTTCACAATAAGAGCCCCATGAGTCCTGGCACTGACACCTTGGAATATGCCCGTTACATGAAGGAAGAAAAAAATGGAATAACCTGGTCATTCAGTATATTCAGGTGGTCAGCTGACCTCATTGTTTGAGCTGAACCTAGACCTGACCACCTGCAGCAGCCCCACATCATAGACCTTAGTTAAATCCAGGTGGACACTTTGTTTTGTCCAGTTTGTGTTCATACCTGTAGCTGCTTACAAATGTGAGTCAGTCTGCTAATGGATACGGGTTGGCTAACTGATGTTTGTGTTTCTTGCTTCAGTAAATCAGAAACTAACCAAGACTTGTTTTTATTGTAGCTCACTGGTTCCTCCATCTGTGGAAGATGCTTCTCCGGATGATGTGGTCCAGACTGGGAGCTCAGCGGGTTTCAGAGAAGACCCCAGCTTTCATCACTGCCTCAAACATTGTTTGCCAAAGGTTTGAGTCCAAACCCAGGACTCTGTCTGGGCCGTGGATCTTTACAAGAACTCTTCACCAGCAGCACCTGCATAAAAAACACACTCCGTCTGCTTTTACTGGAGGTAGAAGTCTGAACCGTCCTCTTTTAATGAACTCTGAGCTCCTAACTAGTTGTAGAAGTGGAGCGATACGTTGTTGTTCAGCCAACGTTGTAAAATCAGTGTTAAAATCTACTTTAAAAGCAACATCAGTACCTGGGAAACGGGCTCCTAAAGGACCACGAACCAAACAGCCGTCTCGAGCCAACCAGCCTTCACTCATTGAGGACAAGGTGATCCTCTGTGCTCTGATCCGTCCACCTGTTGCTGTGTGTTGGTAGAGTTCTTAATGCAGGTGTGCTTTTTGTCTGCAGGATATGATGCAATGTATCGCCTTCGCAACAGCAGATCAGTATCACTTACCAACACTGAGCCAGGCTCTGATCAGCCAAGGCTTCCAGGAAGTGGATTTACCAAGGGGTAGGACCATTGATCTGTATTACTGGATTGGACAACACGTGACTCTGTGTGTGTGTG